CCCCAAAACCCCAAAACCCCAAAACCCCAAAACCCCAAAACCCCAATGGCTCCTTTACATATAGAATTAAATTAATTCAGCAAAACACTATAAATGGAACAAACTGAAGGTAAACACTCCTCAGTTTTAACTATTTGGATCAAGAGACTAACTTTATATAGAGAGAAAATTACTTAATGAATTGCATTTCATTAATTCCTTGACCAAGGAAAAAGAAAAGTTTACCCCACAAGAAGGAAACAGAGTCAACTTCTATATGTGTGGGCCTACTGTTTATGACCATTCCCACCTTGGACATGCCCGTGCCTATATGTAAGCGCTATAATTTACTGTTTAGGCTCATGGACACTGTGAGAAAAGTTATGAGAGACTACTTCAACTACGATGTTCACTACTGCATGAACATTACTGATATCGAAGACAAAATCATTAAAAAGAGTAATGATCCTGAAGATGGAAGGTCATTCCAAGAAATTGCCAGATTCTATGAAGAAGATTTCCTCAATGATATGGCTACTCTGAATGTAGAGTTACCAGACTCTATGCCAAGAGTCTCTGAGTATGTTCCAGAGATTGTTGACTTTATACAGAAGATTATTGATAATAGATATGCTTACGAGTCTAATGAATCTGTCTACTTTAATGTGATCAAATACAGTGAGGATAACCATAAATATCCTAAGCTGAATACAGCCACTCAAGAGAAGCTTGCTGAACTCCTCAAGGATGGAGAAGGAGTACTCGAACAAGAAAATGAAAAGAAGAATAAAGAGAAAATCAATGAACAAGATTTTGTCCTCTGGAAGAAATCCAAAGAAAATGAACCATTTTGGGAATCACAATGGGGCAAAGGAAGACCAGGATGGCATATTGAGTGTTCAGCAATGAGTCATGCTATCTTTGAGAAATATCCTATCGATATTCATGCTGGAGGAGAGGACTTAAAATTCCCTCACCACGATAATGAGATAGCTCAATCTGAAGCACATCACGGATGCGATCAGGTAAGGTTAAAATTAAGTGAAATTTGCAATTAAAATATAGTGGGTAAATTATTTCATCCATGTCGGTCATTTGCATATTGACAAGCAAAAGATGTCAAAGAGCCTCAAGAACTTTATCAAGATCAAAGAATTCACTAAGAAGTATGACGCTAAGAAAATCAGATTCCTCTTCTTGCTCCAGAGATGGAATACTATTATGAACTTTGACCCTGAAAAATCAATGACTGAAGCTTTAGCCAAAGAAGCACAATTTTTAGAATTTTTCAAGCAGGCTAAAGCTATTATCAGAAATTTTGACATCAAGAAGAATCCACAGAAGTGGGATGCTGTTGATAAAGCCTTAAACCAAAAATTAAGAGATACCATGACTCAAGTTCATCACCACTTATGTAACAACATCGATACTCCAAGCGTCATCCTTGAGCTTGGAAATCTGGTAGGAGAAACAAACAAATATATGAAAGGAAAAGATACTCAGATCAAAAGCCCACTTGTGGTTAATATTGCCAAGTATATTCTCAAAATCACTAAGTGTCTTGGGCTAGTCGACCAAGATCCATTTGCTTACAATGCTAGCTCAGATGAAACAGGTGAAGAGGCTAAGGTTGACCCATTCGTTCAAACTATTGTCAACTTCAGAGATGAAATTAAGCAATTAGCGTTCGAGAAAGACAACAAGAAACTTCTTATAGACCAATGCGATAAGGTCAGAGATGTTGATATGGCCAACCTAGGAATCAAGATTGAAGACACTGGCATGAAGACTCAATCTAACTGGATTAAAGAAGACCCAGAAGTACTCCTCAAGAGCATTGCTGACAAAAAGGAAGCTAAAGAGAAGAAGATTAGAGAAAAGGAAGAAAAGAGACTACTTGAAGAGAAGAAGAAGTCCACTCCTCCTAATGAATGGTACTCAACATTTGAGAGTGACAAATACTCTCAGTTTGATGAGAACGGACTTCCAACTCACAATGAAAAAGGAGAGGAGCTCAGTAAAGAAAAGAAGAAAGGCTTAGAGAAGCAAATGAAGGCTAAAGTGAAGAAATATCAAAAGTATCTTGACACTTTAGAAAAGCAAGCCAAAAAGAAGGCAGAGGAGGAAGAGAAGAAAGAATAGCCACTAATTATTCAATTTCTGACAGACTTCTTGGGGTTTTGGGGTTTTGGGGTTTTGGGGTTTTGGGG